CTGGCACCGTACCATTTGAGCCACAGCACCACTTCTGACCCTTTTTGCTTTTGTGATGCTGAGGAACCAGATCCAGGGCCTCATACATCCAAGACTATCACTCTACTGCTGAGCCGCCTTATCAGCCTGAGCTCCTGCTTACTATCAGGTGCTGGCAGCCTGTGTTGCCCAATTTCCAGCCTAGGGTATATGGGTAGAGTTTTGGTGGGGTTTGGGCTTCTCTTGAACTGGGCCTCCAGGTCTTTTATTGTCACAGGCGTGCTTCCCGGGGAGTGCTGTTTCCTGATTTTCTCCCCTCTGTTGAGGCGTATGCTCAGCTTTTTACTTCAGTTGGGAGGAGTTGGTTGTGTTGTTCAGGCGCTGGATCCCAGGGCCTGGTTCCGGCCCCAGCCTGGAGCGCGCTCGTTAGGCCTGTGCTGATGTGTATACCACCTAGGTTATGCAGCCTGGAGGACACAGTTCAAATTTCTTCTACTGTTGGTAGTCTTGACCCAGGGGCACTGTTCCTGAATTGGGCATTTAAGCTCCCTTCCAGGGGCACTCTTGCTCTGGCCTGGCCAGCGGAGTGTGCTCCACGGGCTGGTAGAGCTCTCGAACATTTCCCAGTTTTAGTGGGTCCTGTGGTCTGGGTGTTGGGGTAGGGAGTCTAGGTCAGGGTCTGGGGATTCCCTCCAGCTTTGGTCTCCCTTGAGGGATACACTGTGGAGTACTCACCCTGGAGCTGGTTGTTTCTGTGTGGTGTAGGTCGTCAGTTGTTGTTGCAATCCGAGTTCAGTTGGGGTGGTTGCGGGCTGGGCTGGGCGGTGGTGGCTCTGTGTGATTCTTTTCTGTCTCTGGTTCCATCGGAGCTTTCGGGTCCACAGTGTCCACGCTCAGGCGGCTTCTTCGCGGGTTGTAGAGATCGGTGGGTCTGACGCCGGGTCTGACGCCGGTGCCTCAGGCGGCTTCTGCTGGGGTGATCTGCAGGCAGCCCCCTGTGCCTCTGGGACCCGGGCGGGCCCCACCAGGTCTTGCAATCGCAATGGGCCAGGTCCCGTGCCTCAGGCGGCTTCTGTGGGGGTGATCTGCAAGCAGCCCCCTGTGCCTCTGGGACCCGGGCGACCCTGCCCTGTCTTTGCTATCCTAGCAAACTGGCGGGTCTAGTGCCTCAGGCAGCTCTGAGCCTGTGGTCTGCAGACTGGTCCCTTTGTCATGCTGCTGGTGCTGGGCGGCTTTGGCGGGATGGAGCCTCTCTGCTCGGGTGGAGGGTGAGGGGTGGGGGTGGGATCCTCCTGGAGACTCCCGGCTGGTAGGTTTCTCTGTTCCTGGCGATCAGTTGTTCTGCAAACTGGTACCTCTGGCGGCTTCTGCGCAGGTGATCTGCAGGCGGCCCCCTGTGTCTCTGGGGCTCCAGCAGCCCCACCGGGCCGGCTGGCCGGCGGCTTGGTGCACTGCCGCAGGGCCAGTAAAGGTTGGGGGAGGGGTCTTCGCTCTTCTCTGTTCTGAAATTCTTCTTTTCCTCTCTTTCTTATTTTGTTATTTTCCCCCTCCGGTTTTTCTCTGAGTGTTCGTCTTTTTGTTGTTGTCGGTCTCTTGGGGAGATTTAGCATTGGAACCCGAACTCTCTTTTTGGTTGGGGAGAGCTGTGGCGTTTCCCTACTGCCCCGTCGCCATCTTGGTCCCCCCTCCGTGCACCTGCTTTTTGAGTTCAGGAATTGAACTTTTGACATTTCATTTATTTTTGTCACTGAAGGCTAAAAAGCGGCTTGAAAAGTAAGGTCAAATGACATGCCAGACACTTCGGAGGTGGAACTTAAGGAGAGTTGTGGTTTAAGGCTAACCTAGGGCAAAAGTTAGCCAGACCCCATGTCAGTTATGAAGCAAGCGTGATGATGCGTACCTGTTACCCAGCTTTGCTAGAAGCATTGATGGGGAGAAGAGGTCTCGGTCCACGCTAGCCCTGGAGAAGAAAAATTGGGGACCCTATTCTAAAATTAAAACATCAGATATTGGTGGCTCCTGCCTGTAATCTTCACCACCAAGACCTTTTAGAAAGTGGTTCAAAGCCACTAGGCAAATATACCTGAGACTACATTTTCAAATCATCAGCAGAATGCTAGACTGGAAGTGTGACTCAAGTGGTAGAGCTCCAATTGTGGGAAATAAAGTTAAGGGAGAGCTGGAGGTTCTTGAGCTCAAGCTTTGACACTCCTCCTCCTCCAAAAAAAGAGGTGCTGAGGGTGGGACCCAAATTGTGGAGTACAAGCACAGACCCTGAGTTGAGTTTAAACTTCTTGCCACCAAAAATGAAAAAAAGAAATAAAAACAGAAAAGGTGCCCAAGGAGAAATTTGAGAATCAGTAGTTTGACTCAGATATATCCTGCTGCTTCCATGCATCTGACTGGTGCCTTCTCATCCCCACTTGTCTCCTGATGCTCTGTATAGCCTGACCTGCAGGGACCCTGCTCTGTTTCCCAGCTGGTTTGCTTTAGGGCTGTTCACCTTTCTCATTCATTCACTCAGCAAACATTCACGGAGGTAAAGTGCTAGATAGAGGTACAGAAAAAAACCATTTCCCCTCCTTCAAGTTGAATCACTTAACCGCACTTGCCAATTTGTTTATTCCCCACCTAATATTTTATGACATTTTCTCCATATTAGCTGTTTTGTGGGCTTCAGCCATACTTTGTTAACTTCAATATTTTAATTGTCGTCTGGTGCATATTTTCTTACTTCGTTAAACAGTTTCGGGAGATTTCTCATACTGGAGTCATGGGTAGGCCCTGTGACTCTTTACCACGTGGGTCTCAGCAAGAGCCCAGAGGGCTCTGTCTAGCATGTGTTGTCTAGAAAGGGGAGTGAACATAGGTGTGTATGGGGGACCCGCTGCCTCAGGATTGATGAGCATGGTTTATACTTTGACAGAAACCTGAAGTCCTTGATTCCCTAAGTGTTAGTCTCATACATTTCCACTTCTCCCTTCAATAGGATAAAGAGGCACTAAAGAGACAGCAGGTGAGTGATTCTCTGCTAATGTCTATGTCACAGTCTACACTCAGTGAAGGCAATGGTCCCTTGCCACCTTTGGAACACTCTCCTGAGGATTTAGAAGTCCAGCTAGAAACAACACAGAGAAAGCTCCTACAGCATGAGACTGAGGTAAGCAGCCTGGACTGTGTGGACCCCCGTGTCCTTTTATGGCCCTAGGTACTTTTTTTTTTTTTGTCCGTCGTGGGGCTTGAACTCTGGGCTTGGGCGCTGTCCCTCAGCTCTTCAGCGCAAGGTGAGCGCTCTACCGCTTGAGCCACAGTACCACTTCCAGTTTTCTAGTGGTTTATTGGCGATAAGAGTCTCACAGACTTTCCTGCCCAGGCTGGCTTGAACCGTGATCCTCAGATCTCAGCCTCCTGAGTAGCTACGGTTACAGGCATGAGCCACTGACGCCTGGCCTGGGTACTTCTTTATAGAAGACTAGATGTCCAAGCCTGACACTGATAATTTGTTTCTGTAATCCATGCTACTAGGAGGTTGAGATCTGTGGATCACAGTTTGAAGCCAGCCTAGGAAGGAAAGTCCCTAAGACTCATCTCCAGTTAACCACCAAAAAGCTGCAAGTGGAGCTGTCGCTCAAGTGGGACTGAACAAAAAAAAAAAACCAATATTGGCATTAAAAAAAAAAAAAAAAGACTAAATGTCCAAAAACAAGTAGAAGGGTTGTGACTAAGATATGTTCCTTTTTTTTTTTTTTGGGTGCTTGAACTCAAGAGTCTGAGTATTCTCCCTGAGCTTTCCTGCTCAAGGCTAGTGGTCTACCACTTGAGCCACAACTCTACTTCTAGCTTACTACTGGTTAATTAGAGAAAATCTCATGGACTTTTCCTGCTCAGGTTGGCTTCAAACCACAATCCTCAGATCTCAGCTTCCTGAGTAGCGCTAGTATACAGCCACTAGTGCCTAGCCTAAGGCATATTCTTTATAATATCAGTATTTGATAATGGTGCATAATATAACTCCTCCTGAGCTTTTTTTTTTTTTGGGGGGGGGTCCAGTTGTGGGGCCTAAACTCTGGGCCTGAGCGCTATCCCTCAGCTCTTCAGCTCAAGGCTAGCGCTCTACCACTTGAGCCACAGTGCCACTTCTGGCTTTTTT